AAATGCACTCTGAAGCATGCAGTGGTGGCGGCTGCAACACCAGCTCTGGCCTTGCAGCACGTGATAGCAGTGGCAGCTGCTCTGGCTCTGGCCAGGGGCATACAGCAGCAGCTCCAGCCCCCACAGTATGCCCATGCTAGAGCTGCCACGGCTATGTATGGCATGCTGGCATTGCTATGCATCCTATTTTCCCCCAGCCCTTGTCTCCCAATCTTTGTGCTTTTCCTTTCAAGGTGTGTACATGTTGTAGGTGGACAAAGGAGCTTACAAAAGGAGAACTGAAATAGGTGATGAGTGCCTTTTGCAATCCTGTACACCAGTGGTGCTCAACCTTTATCCCTGATGGGCCAGATGGGCATTGCCCGGGCTAGATCTGGCTGGTGGTCCTGATCCAAGGTGCTGGATTGTTGGCTGCAGGTGTTGAATATGACAGTGTAGTTTCCCTGTGCCACACATGAGTAATATTCAGGCGCACTTTACCTGCTCTTTAAAACATAACTTTAATGTCCAAGGAAGCAAGTAAAACAAGATTAATCATTTCAGAAGTCATGGAAGCTACCCTAATGTGGCTCCCCAGAGAAGAGCTTGTCCTTGCCACTGCACTCTCCTGGGAAAGCTTCACAGCAGTAGTAGTTACTAGTAATTAAACCTATAACTAGACATTCTTTAGGCACCGTGGTCTTCTCATTCTTGGAGGGGTGGGGGAACAAGCAGGCTCTCTTAGCTAGAAAAAATTGCACAGCAACCTTACACACTTTTGGCTCCTCAGGCCTGAGAATCCCAGTTTCCATTGGAGGACTGAAAGGGAAATATACTGCGCTCACCTGGTTGTTAATGTGTTAGGTTCATTAAAAAAACTGAGCATCCTGTCATCTTGTCTGTGTTCCCATGAAGCTCAGCTTCTGATTTCAGTGTCTTCTCGTAGTGCTGTCACCCTGGGATTTTCTCTTCCTGTGGCTGGGATGTATAATAACCAGCACGCCGGGCCCGCTCTGTTTCAAAAGAGTGCTCAGAATGAAGGAATTTTTCATTCTCGATTTCCGGTTCTGTGCTTCTCCCTAAGCCACAAAATACCCACTAGAGGAGCGTTCCACTGAAACTGTTCTCTGTGGCCAGTAATTAAAAATCAACTCTCCTGCTTGGAAGGGAGAAATAGAGATCAAGTTTGCATTCTCATGAGGCACAAGCATTATAATGAAAATTGCAAGAAGTCCTATTCGCTGATCAGTAATGGTGCCTGAAGTCTCTGTTAAAGTAAAATGACATGGAATTTGCAGATCCTAAAAATAGCAATGCATCACCATTAGTTTGATGTTGCATTTTGTTCTTGTCGTAATACATGGAAAAAATGCCTGTGATTTGCATTGTAAATTGCTGTGCATGTTTTTGAAGATGAGATCTTCCATGTGTGTCTATGGTAGCATTTGTATACTCCAGAATAGCACATCAACCCAATGCTCTGCTATTACAAGAAAAAAAATCATGGAAAATGGACACGTAAATGCATCTCATCTTCCCCCCCCAAAATCTTTCTGGCCATCTAGCTTACGTTGGGGAGGCAGTGCAAATCTTGACAGACTGGTCTGCCATTAAAATTAATTCCTGACACCATAGCATGACCTTTTACATATATTTTTGAAACTATAATGGCGCACATATGTGGTTATGAACAGAGATTCAAAAGATGCATGTTCAGCAACTCTGTCGCAGGTTCAGTGTGATTTACTTTCTCTTTGCCTCCGTGTGATGTGCATAATAATACTTCCTTATTTCCCACCCTTTGCCAGTCTTGTCTATTTAAGCTGTAATCTCTTTAGAGAGGCATTTTATTATTGTGCTTGTATAGCACCTAACACTGTGGCCATGAACTCAGTAGGGGACAGAAGACTGTACTAGAATATAAATAATCTGTAATGCATAAATAAAATTCAGATGTTACTCACCTCCTAAGTGTTCTGTCTAGTGTAAATTTATCTTACTGTAACCTCGTTGGGTCAGAAAACTGTCTTTTATCTTGTCCAGATCCTAGTTCATCACACTTGCAGAATAAAAATAATACCGTTCAGATTAGTCTTAAATCAGAAGGAGAGGTTTTGAAGGACTGCTGACCTTGACACTGGTACTGATTTAAAACCTAGACACATTGCCTTTGTGGAGTGGATATAGGATGGATTGGTATTTTGATCTGAATTCCTTTGGCCTGCCTGGCATAGGCAAGAGCTAAAATAGTCAAAATTATCCAGGGATGGGTTTGGATGCTGAGCCTGTGACTGCATTTATACCATGCCCTCCTCCCCACCTCCTCTCCTTCCCTCTCCCCTCCCCTCACTGCCCCATGCCCAAATTTCCAGCTAGTTAATGGCCTTGGTGCTGATAGAATTTGCTTGTGATACTGCAGAAAAGTGTGAAAAGTTGCCTGTATCATTATTGCACTTTGTCAGGTTGCACTGGATCCTTTGACCTGCATTATACAGTATACAAAGGCCAAATACAGGATGACAAACTGTGGAGTAATAAAATGTCTTTGTTCACACTTGCCATGTGAATATGGGTAATGGCAAGCTCCTTTGCATCCCTAGACCTGAAAGTATTTTGTATCGGGGAAATGAGTATGCTTGTCCTCTTCATCCATGAGGAGGATATATGATTTCCACCAGCAAGTTAGGGCTCTAGGTTCATGTGTACCACTGTTTCCTGACTTGTAGTCTTATGGCCAACTACCAGCAACTCCCAAGTGTCTGTCAAAGAAAATTTAAGGGCAAGTTGATGATATGACTATGTGAATTTAATCATGGATGTAAGGTGAAGTGCTAGTGCTTGTGGCAAAGAGCCTTGAAATTACAAAATTTGGGTGCTGCTGCTTAGGAGCATAATTATTTAAACCAAGTCTTGCTACCTAAGAAAATGCCTGGAAGTTGTTAGAATGGTATATGAAGCAAGCCCTGTATTGTGCTCATGTGATCAAGTGCTTCCTCGATAATGGTTCAGTGTGTTAGATTGGTCCTGAGTTCTTCCAACATCATTGTAAGGAATCACATGTGATTCTTTCTATGTTAAAAAGGGCACTGTTAAGTGAGTAGCTATGTGGGCACAAGAAGGGGGTTAATGTTAAAAACAGGCTTAACTGAATTGATGCAGAATTTGCAGCGTATGCTGCTCGGGAGCATAATATTATGCACACCTTCCTGTTTACAAACTGGATGCAATTTATGGCCTTTTCCTATGCTGTGTAAACTTACTTGCTTTTGTTTCTCACATTTCCTGAATGCTTTTAAGCTTCCCTTTGCCTGCACCCCCATGCTGCTGTGGATTTTGGACCCACTATAACACCTGAGTTTGAAAGCAAAAACTTTTTTTCTTTTATAAAGTAATACTCTGGTATTTGTTCAGTTCATGCCCCCTCCCCCTGCCCCTCCCGGGTGGTGCGTGCTGTAAGGCTGGCCATATCATTACCTTGAACTATGTCTTCATTTTCTGTTACTTGCAGTGACATCTCTGAATTGTTTACATTCTAATATATGGGAATCTTCCTATGCCAGGATGCAATAGAAACATCATTTTTCCTTTACCAGGAGCAGATGTCTTCTCTGTAATACTAGCAATAACACTGCTGCTTCCTGTTGTCGCAGATGCTCTCAGCAGTGCAGAGCTCCAGGCAAGGAGAGGACACGTTTCAGTACTGCATACCATCACTACTCAGGCACTTCCTTTCCCAATTGCACTCTCCCTGGGATGGTATTGTCAACTGGGAAATGGAAGAGGATGTTACTTTAAAAAGAAAACTTTTATTTATGCTGGATGTAGCTGAAGAATTCTCTTGAAATTTGTATTCACCAGCAGCTTGGCCTTGACCTGCGCTTTCTGTGTTGCGCTTGTACCCACCCAAAATGGCAAGTGAAACTCATAGCACAAAACCTACGGGGAGAAATATGTTGAAACTCCAAGTGAGCCAAACCTGCCCACTTATGCACGTATTAAAGTCTGAATCCATCTCCTTGGGGTATGTCTTTGGCACAGTCCTTAAAACAGTTGTTATGACATTCTCATTAACTGTAGGTCACTATCAAATCCCAAGAAATTTCTGTCGATAAACTTTCAAGCTACCATTCAGACCACAGGAAGAGCAGAAAGAAAGAATGCATACTTAGGGACTTATTCTGTGTTCATTATTCTTTACACCAGCAGAATTCCTTAAAGTCAATGGAAGTTTTGTCTGAATAAGAAGTATTTTGCATGAATAGCACCCTCATTGAGACATTGTTACTGAGTCAGAAATTTAGATGAATGTTGTGGCTAGCAGCTTAATCTACACTACATGTTTTTTCACACCAATAGAGGGAGTGCAAATCGCTTCTGACAATAGTCTGATAGTGGAGTAGTGGGAGACTTTTTGATTTGAGAGCTGGTTGCTGAAGGGGAAAGTGTAGTTTCCTTTATTGCATTTTAAAATTTCATCTCGTTGTGGAAATGAATAGGTAGATTATTTTAATGGACATCATTGTAAAATAAAACCTGTCTTAAAACTAGAAACTTTTGTTTTCAGAAAGAATAGGTTTTGGTGCGCGGCTACATATGTTACAAACGTGATTTTCATTTTAAAACGTAATTGGCATATTGGATAGAGAGAGAGCGAAAATAAGGCAGTTTTCATAAATGTGCAAGATCATTCTACATTTGTATTTATGTGAAAGATTTAAACTCTTACCCATCCTGCCTTGGTGGTTGAACACTGGGGTGTTTAAAATTATTCACTACTCAGTAAAAACTTTGCAATATATGTTCAAAAGAAATGATCTCACAAGTTCTCTGTTTATTGGTCACTGTCTGTTCATTATCCATTAATCTTATTTGTGATTTTCAGCTGTTGGGGAATTATACTCAGATTATTTTAATGTGCTACATGTGATTATTTCCTTAAATTAATGGAAGCTTTCAAATCTTTCATTGTTTCGAGGAGTCCTGCTATGTTATGGGTTGTGAATGTTGTCGTCTTCTTGCAGGTTATTGAAGGAAAGCTGGCTCCTTTCTTGGGGAAGGTTATCAAGTTTGCTACTTCTCATGTATACAACTGCAGCCTTTGTAGCCAGAAGGGCTTTATCTGTGAGATTTGCAACAACGGGGAGATCCTTTACCCCTTTGAGGATATGTCCACAAGCAGGTACAGTATATTGCTGTTTATAGGTTTTAGTTATGTTTTATCCTCTTAAATTCAGGTCAAATGACAGTCCTTTCCATTATCCTCCATGAAGGTAAATGGAGAGGGCCACTTCCTCATTTGACTAGATTAAAAAAGCCACCGACCTACGTCAGGCATTTTTTTTAAAGCGTTGTAGGTCCTGTCACCCATGTTCCAGAAGATGAAAGCCATCAGGGGCTGCCTGCCAACATGAGCACATGAGGGCCATCCAAATGAGCACTTCTGAGTTTGCACAGGGCCCAGAACCAAAGGTGCTTTCTATATGACTGGGTCTGACTTCACTCTGATTTCACTGTTCCTGCAATATATTGTACCTTCAATATTAGATATGACTGATAATCTACTGTGTGTAGAGGCATGTATGTATGACATAGTTCTGACTCTTACACACTTACTTTAGATGCATGCAAAGCTGTTCCTTACTGGAATGCAGCAGCTATTTATCAATTCATTAAGTAAGGTTAAGGACGGGAAGTGAGGAAGAACAGTGTGTCCAGTTGAAACAGAAGAATGCAGACTGCAATAACCCAAAGTGAAATTAGACCAGGAGACTGGAGCAGTGTTCCTACTCCCAGCTCACCCTCTCCCCACTGATAACCACAGAAGACAAGGACTCTGGGTTTTTTTACCCACCAGAAAGAAAGCACTTCCAGCAGCCATCTTTTACACATGTGTGCACACACCTACACACAATCTGGCATTTTCAATTAGGCTGTTGTTTTAATTTGTAGTGAGAATAAAGTAGCAGGATTGAAGCCAAGAAAGGAAGGAGAACCTACTCCAGAGGTGATCTGGATCTGCTTGCTAAATATAAAAATCTGAGGCTCTTGAGCTGACAAAGATTTGTGTCAGGAGTGGCCAAGGCCAGCCTTTGGGGGATTTCAAGTCTATCATGCCTTTCAAAAACTATTTGCACATTCCTTCTCTGACTTCACATTCCAAGAACTGTAGAGACAAAACACTGGACATAAATTAAACAAGGTGTACAGTTGAGTTCTATAAATGGTGTGCAAGAACGAAGACATAGAAAAGGGAAAGGGAAAGTCTAGGATGACTATACAAGACCTTTTAAGATATCCCAAAAAGCCTAATGAGAACAAGTAAAATATTTGGATAGTGATACTTAACTGAAGTATGTGCTGGATTTGCATATTAAATTTTTGGTTGACCACAAAAGTGTTGGGGTATATATTATCCCTAACCTGCCAATTGAAATAAGAGACTATATACTCTACATTAGTTTTATTAAAACCTTCCTGAACCATGAAGTGTTTGTCACTGGTCTGTTGACAATCACATGGAAATGCTTTTCTTCTATTTGTGTGCAAATCAGAGGTCAAGAATTGTTTTTGTTTCAAGTTCCACAACGCAACTAATGCAAAATAATTGCTGATACTAGGCCAAAGGAAACTTTCTTCTATATCATTTTTAATTAGCCACAGAGAGAGGGCTATGACAGTTCTCTCCTTTTATTTTTCACCGTTCAGCCCTTTTGCTACCATCATTGCTAAATCTTGCTTTTTTTCCCTGGGCTCAGCCTCTCCATTTCCCTTCCTCATTAGTTGCCTGACTGCATGACCAACAGTCCCTTTCCCCTATCCAGTCTGCAGCAGAGCAGCAATGTGAAATTAACTAGACCATTTAATTTCATACTTCTACCCTATTCTTCAAGCAAGCAGAGAGAAATGATAGAACAAGAGAATTTGAGTTAGCCATTTTGGCTCCAGCAGTACATATAGCCAATAAGTCTAGGGGAAAGAGTTCAAGGGGTTTTTTTGTGTGCGCCTCTCTCTGGTACACATGCCAGGGATCCTGGTTTTCTCTGACTTAAAAAATCCCCAATTTTCAGATTTAAAAAAAGTAACCCCAAATCCACATTTTTCCTTGATTAAAATGAAACACCACTAATGTTTTGTGTGTGTGTGTGTGTATAGTGGTGTTTCATTTTAATCAAGGAAAAATGTGGATTTGGGGTTACTTTTTTTAAATCTGAAAATTGGGATTTTTTTAAAATTGGAGAAAACCAGGGTCCCTTCACATGACAATGATCTCTGACCCAGCCACTCAGATACCCCAGGGATAGACTTAATATGAGGTGCGATGTAGATGTAGAATAGAATATATATTCTATTCTATTCTACATGCCTCCTAAATCATCTGTTGCTATGCATTTAAATTTACCTTAGATATGTTGCTAGGGGATTCATCTACATAGATATGATATAGCTCATAGTACCTAACAAGATCTAGACACTTCTGAGTGCTCTAGCTGTAACTCTGTGGTTAAGAAGAGAATGGCCACTTTAAAATGAAGGCCTAATTTTCTTTCCAGGTCTATGATGCTATCCAGCTACTTTAGAGCTGGTAGCTGATTTTACTGGTTGGCCAGTTAATTGAACATGTTTGAAAATGAGGGCGTGGCCACTTTTTTATAGGCATTGTCAGTAGCAGGGGTCAGGCTGAACATGTGGTGATGAGTGTCGTGAAGGACCAGACTCTACTCCCAGCTGCTCCAGTGCATTGTCAGTAAAATCAGTGGGACAGTGTCTGTGTAACCAAGGCCAAACTTCAGACCTTCATATTATGTTAGTTTCTTTTTATAAAATTTAGTATAGAAACCCAGTTACAAAGTGATCTGTGCTGCAGGGCAAAAGTTATTTGTTCTCTATTCAGTAGCTCCTATGCTCATCTAGCTGTTGAATGGCTGGAAAGCAAAGGGTGTTCTTGAGTCCTGATTGATATGTTGAGCTGTTTTGCCCCAACCTTTCTCCTTCCTAAATGAGAGCTCTTGCTTTTCTGGGGATCGGATTGATTGGGAGGTTCCCAGCTAGACTTTAACTATCTGGTGGCATAAAATAGTCTGTCCAGCAGCTGAGACAGAGAAAAGTCCTTCTCTCTTCTTCTCTCTGTCGGTTTTGGAGCTGTCCTGAGTCGAAATTCAAGCAGGTTAGCCTTTGTTGTGGATGGATGTGCCTGAGAGAAAAGAGAGAAGCACAAGGGACTTCTCTTAAAGGGCTGGAGTTTTTCTTTGGTCAGGTTATTTGCACAGCATTCATTTCTGTCAGTCCTTGAGCAAACAGAGTGAATACCTGGATTATGCACTCATCTGGCTTTGACTACACATATATTACATACCCTTCCCTCACTAATCAGCATGACACATTCCTTTGTTGGCAAACGGCTCCAAAACAAACACAATCAGTTCACTTAATTAGCGGGCTAGTGGGCTGTGCTTGGCAGTCTCCTTACATCCTGCTCAACAATACAGAACAACTGTTTGCTGTTTTAGCTTTTATAAGGGTGGACTTACAAAGTTACAAGCTCCTAAATGGTATTTCCATTCTACAGCTTCTCTTGGGAGGCAGTTGGATTGAACTGTACAACTGTGTATAGTTTAACGCCGGCTTGAAGCCAGAAGTAGCAAAATGAAAATTGGTCCATCATATTGGATGTCTCTTGCAATTTTATAGTTGATTCCTCTGTCTTCATTCTCCTTCTCTCTCTTCGCCCCCCACCCACAATCTTTTACATTAAAACTCATCAAGGCTCTTTCTAAATTACATAATTCTGTTTCTTTCAGTAGCCCTTTTAATACTAATTGGTGATATAATAGCCTTATTTGTCTTTAAACATAAACACCTACAGGCAGTGTAAATTGTCATAGCTCTGACTTCCCTGGAGCGGTGACAATTTGCACTGCTTAAAGATCTGTCTTTTATTGTGTCTAGTTTAAAATTTGTTCCAAGCTTTGTACCAAAAAAAATCCTATTAGGTCACTCATTTATTTACCAAAATGTCTCAAAATATGTTTTAATACCCCTGATCATAAGAGGGAGCTGTAGAAATATTATTGTCTGTCTTGTCAGTAACCTGGGGCTACACCTTGATTTATTCTGATATTACTTACTCAGCTTTAATGTGGTGAAAGGTTTATTTTTCTTCTCCTGAGAAATGAGGGGGTCAAGAAGTAAAAATGTAAGACCTTTATGGGCTAGGATTTTTGTGGCTGGTATCTTTTATTGAACCAACTGCAGCCCCTCATAGTTGTTCAGCTGTCTGTGTCTTCATTTATGTTTTTTATGACTTGGGACAACTCTTGAAAACTTGATGTTGTAAATTTGATGAATTACCTAGAGAAACATTGATTGATTGATTGATTGATTGATTCAGGAAAAAAATGAAAGTTTGTTAGTCTGAATGCATAGTCATGCTGTGGGTGCATCTACACATGCTATTGGTGTGATGCAATAAATGCTCCGGGTGGTGGCAGAAGGGCATGAGGGTGCTACAGTGCAGAGCTAGCTGGCAGGCAGCCCCCATATTTCAGTATCCTCATGCCACAGCCAGCCTCTTTCACAGTCTACACATGTTTCAGTGTACTAAATTAGTCCGCCATAGGCTAGTACTGTCCCCAACAGTACTATCCTACAGTGAAGTTAATTTACTATGCCATAATACCAACGCACATGTAGTGTGACACTTTACTGCAGAACTAATTAGTTCCTTCTGCAGTAAAACAAGAGTAGCAACCCACTGAGTAGCAACTTGCTCTACAAGTGTTTTGATGGAGAGTTACTACTTGTACTTGCTCATGTGAATGGCTTTGTTTTAACTAGTTAGGACTACTCATTTGTCTAAGGGCTGGGCAACTGGCTTTGGATGCTATATATCTTTGTGTATATATTTTAGAATGATTGAAACGGGTTCTTTTGTGATTGCAGACAGTTTTCAGGAAAAACTACTTTACCTTTGCAAAGTTTAATTTGCTTTGTGGATCAACTAAGGCATAACCTTTCTAATCCCAGAAAACAGGTTTAAATGAGAAGTTCCATAAAATAGGCTTGGCTATATCAACCACTTTAGATACCTCTGGAATTTTTAACTGTTGACTTATGCACATGTTTAAGTTCACCCATAGTATAAAGTGCATGGGACTCCGCACAGCGCATAAAATTAAGCAT